AACAAAACCCTACAACAAATGTCCTACAAGAAATAGTGATTCTTCTTTTTTAAAAAAAAAAAAAATTAAAATTTAAAAAGCAATGCTTACCTCTGCTCATCTCCTGAAGTTACATCATGCAAAAGCACGTAATATTTAAGTGTATTTGGGATAAACCACTTAGGGTAGGAATAATCACTGTTGTGCTGAATTCGATGCTGTTCTTGTGACAACTTTGAAAACTGTTCCATAGGTTCAGCTTCACCGGACGACGCCACCAACATACCTTGTAACCACACTGTCAGGGAAATTATCACATCTCTAAATGATAAATATTGCCTTATTAATATAAATTGTAGGAGAAATTTTCTGGCCAGGCATCATAGCACAGGCCTGTTATTCCAGCTACTCAAGAGGCTGAGGCAAAAGGAATAAAAGTTAGGGCTGTGTTTGCACTCAAGTGTGAGTCCAAAGCCAGCCTGAACATCTAAGGGAGACCTCTTCCTCTGGCTTCCATGTGCACAAGCATACACACTTGCACACCCAGATAAGCATATACAACATGCACACTGAATTCACACACACACACACACACACACACACACACACACACACACACCCCTCAACTACCCAGTTCAGAAAATCCAAAATAAAGTAATTTTGAATGTGATATCATTAACAATAAAAAATAATTTCTCCATTCTCTATAACTTCTCAAGTATTTTGTCTTTGTTTCTCCAATTAGCAACTTCCTGGCTTTCAGATGACTTAAAGGATACACGCTAAATAGTGGTTCAGAAACTCATGATCTGATGCTGGCATGGACTGCAGAAATGTCTCTCTGTAAGACTCAAACCACGGAGTAGTCGCTAAAATTAACAAAATGCAAAATGGTTAGAATTCAGCAGAATCAGTTTATAAAAGCTAACAATTTCTAGTAGTAAACAAGTATTTTTACCTGTGCTTTAAGATACATGATATAAAAGCAAACAGCACAATTTCTCTTATTTGTAGATGTAGCATTTTATATAAATATATCAAATCATTCACATATTTAAAGATATATAGCATATGCAGCATGTATATTTTAAGCTATTCATGCAAATCCACTTATATATGCAACTACTCAGGTCAGGAGAATGAAGCTGTCATTCCTGAGCCTTTGCAGCCTTCCTGAACCACGTACTCACTGGATCACAGTGACTAGCACTAAGCTTTAGGTCCCATATCAGTCAGTTCACAGTCATAAGCAGACCCTGCTTATAGGAGATCATGCTGTACATCACCGGCTCTCCATCAAGATGATCTTACCCCTCAGGAGAAACTGGACAGTTTTGGAAGGTAGTTGTGGTTGTCACAACAGAGAAGGAGACAGGACTACTGGTGCTTAGGGAAAGAGGTCAGGAAATCAAAGACATCTTACAGTGCACAGATCAAAACAGCCACACACACAAATAATCACCTGGCTCAAACTGTCAAGATGGGTGTGGCTGACAAATTCCATAGCTTGATGACTTGAGTCTGACTATAACAAAGCCTTTTAAAATCTTACACAGTATTACTAGTCTGTGTGTGGTTGTATGCATATGGAGGTGAGAGGACAACTTTCAGGTTGGTTCTGTTTACAGCATGGGTTCTGGGAACTGAACTCAGGTTGTCAGGCTTGCAGAACAAGTACCTTTACCCACTGAGCCATCTCACTGACCCAGCAAAGACTTTCTAAAGAGAAATTCAAAGGATGATTACTTTATAAGCAAGTCAACTCTTTAGCAATTCATATTACATCTTTTCTAAAAAAAATCTGAACATACTTAAACTTAGTTGGGCAAGGTGGTTCATGCCTCTAATCCTAGCACTCAAGAGATTGAGGAGGGAGGATTACAAATCTGACAGCCTGAGTGACAAAGTAAGATCAGGTCTCAAACAGTTGCATGAAGGAGAGAGAGAAGAGCAAGGAACCAAGAAAGAGTGCTACACAGAGCTGGTTAGGCAGGCAGAATGGCATATGCCTGTACTCCTAGCACCTACAAGATGGAAGCTGGAGGACCAGGCATAAATGACTAGAAAGGCAGAAGAAAAAACTGTATGTGCTGACCAAATATAATATCTCATCTGGAACCAAATCATCTTTTTGTTATTTGGCTTTTTGTTTTAAGATATGAGCTCACTATGTAGTTCTGCCTGGCCTTTGACCACCTGTGTAGACTATCTTCTGTGTCAACACATCAGCCAAATGTACAAAAAATCTTTTCACTGTAGCCAGGTGTGATGGCACCTATCTTTAATCCTAGCACTGGGAAGGCAGAAGCAGGCAGATCTCTGTGAGTTCAAGGCCAGTCTGGTCTACCTAGCAGGTTCCAGGATGGCCAGGACTGTTACACAGAGAGACCTGTCTCAAAAAAACAAAACAAAACCCTACAACAAATGTCCTACAAGAAATGCTCACATGCAGCCAGGCAGTGGTGGCACACACCTTTAATCCCAGCACTCGGGAAGCAGAGGCACAGGCAGAGACAGGCAGATCTCTGAGTTTGAGACCAGCCTAGTCAACAGAAGAGAGTTCCAGAAAAGCCAGGACTACACAGAGAAACCCTGTCTTGGAATTTAAAATAAAAAAAGCACATATTTGCAGTATGGTTAGGAGGACATTATTAAGACAATTCCCAACAATACTACCATCTTCATGGAAATGGACAATGAATGACACAACTGTATGTATTTGTCACAATAGGAAACTAATTTTCTCACCAACCAGAACATATTCTTCCCTCCAAATCAGTTGAAAATAATTTCCAGCTAAAAAATTCATTGATTTATTATCTATACCAAAAGAAATATCAAAAATGTTTATTAAGTAACAAAATATTTCACAGAAATGACTATATATCTATACCATTTTGCCTATTTGTCTACCTTTGTTGCCTTACTATTGCTAAAAAATTAACAACAAAAAAAAAAATAAAAAGAAAGAAAAAAACTGTAGTCATATGAGTAAGTTTCTGCTTGGTAGGAGATCTTCCAAACAGCTATGCCATACTATATTATCTGTATAAATAAACTTTAGCTGAATATGATACCAAATTCCTGCACCCCTGGCAACCAGAATATAGAGGCAGGAAGATCAAGAGTTTGAGACCATCCTGGGCTATATGACTCTATATCAAAGAAAAAAATTAAGGAAACAAGGCTAGAAGAGCCTTATATCATCAGGACTAAACTAGGGTCCATCCATTAAATGGTATACTATGCAACTAAAAGAGGAAGAGGAAACACTATAAGGCTGTGAAGTAAAATCCGCAACAGCCAAGGCTAGGCATTAGTGGCTCATACCTGTAAATCCAGCACTTAGAAGTCTAAGGCAGCAAGAAGACAGCTATGAGTTCAACACCAACCAAGGCTACAGTGCCAGCCTGCTGTGTCTCAAGAAACAATAAAACAAAGCAGCAGCCAAAAAGTATGCATTTTTGTGTAAGAAAGGGAAAAACACATGAAAAGTTACACCCATTTGTTATATTTTCAAAGACAAATAATGAAAAGATAAACCTAACACATGTGGGCTGTGGATGCAGCTCTGTGGTAGGATATTAGGTAGCATGCATGAGGCCCTGGGCTTGATCGCAAGTGCTACCAAAAAAAAAAAAAAAAAGCCTAATACAACTAACTATCTCTCAGGAAGAAGAAAGGAGAATGGAAGAAAGGAAAAGGCAGGGGGAGAGAGGGAGAGGGAAGGAAGAGGAGTAGGGAGAGAGAGAGATGGAGGGAGGCTAGCTTTCTCTGAACTATATATGTATTAGTCTTTTGTTTTTGTATCTGAGACAGGGGTCTCATATATCCCAGGTTGGTTTGAACTCACGGTGCAGCTAAGGGTGATCTTATAGTCCTTATTGTGGTTTGAATAGAAAATGTCCCCCATAGGCTCATGTGTTTGAATACTTGGTCCCGGCTGGAGGCACTGTTTGGGATGGTTATGGAACTTTTAAAATGGTGGAACCTTGCTGAAGGAAATAATCCACCTGAGGTGGGCGCTGAGGTGTTCTGGGCTGGCCCTATTTCCTATTCTCATTTTACTACAGTACTGCCAAAATAACATGACTGGTGGGCCTTGAGGCCATTCCGTCCCCAAAATAAACCCTTTCTCTCCTAAGCTGCTTCTGTCAGGGTATTTGACGAGAGCAACAGAAATGAAACTAATGCACTCTGACCCTCTGTCTCAGGTGCTGGAACTGCAGGTGTTCCCTTCCGCACAGTTCACATGGGGTTAAGAGGACCAAACCCAGAATGGCGTGCACAACAGATAAGCACTCTACCGCTGAGCGACACTCCCAACTGTGTCTCAGGATTTGACTTTAGAACTTTATGAACATAGTTATGTGTAAAACTATTATAATTTTTCATTAAATAAAAAAGGAAAGGACAAAATACGCACTTATGAGCACTGTGGGAACAGACACTGAACACTAAGCAAAGATTCATGAAGCAAGGCAGAGATGGGTTTTCATCCTTCAGACAGGTCACATTCAGGTGAACAGGTAACTTTTCCCCTCAGCCACATGTTTTCCTGAGGTGCTGTGAAGTGTGTGATTCCTCTGTCCACCTTTAACTTTGTTAACTGCCAATAAACTAATTTTGTTATATTTTTCAAATTATGCTCTTTACAGGAAATGGGAAGAAATGGTACTTTTTAATTTTTGTGTTTAACACAAGACTTGAACACTTAATGACCATTATTTCACCTTAAAAAGGCTTGTGCATAGTTTGGGATGAAATCACTATTTTGCTCCTATTCCTATTTTTATTAGCAAGTGAAATAGCAGCCATAATACCCTGTGAATGTTTCCTTCAACAAGCCAAGCAAGCACTTGTGGGGATTCAGGAGATGAGGAGTTCAAGGTCATTCTCAGCTTCAAAGGGAGTCTGGAACCAGCATTTCTCTGTACAATGTATTTTGTCTCGGTAAGGAAAGGATAGTATGCTTTTCATTTTTATAAAAAGAAGATACAGTTCAAACTAGACTATTCCAGAGCAATGTATGGACTTAAGAAATAGATAATAGATGATGAACAAGTAAAATTTAAAGAGTACCACAAGACTACTTTCACATCAGAAAAATTAGGGACACATTAACTGGTACAAATATGGTACTGGAAAAGGGGACAGCGGGCAATAGATAAGGAGTAACATGAGAACAATCTGGAAAAAAGAGACCCATCACAAGAAATACCTGTATATAACGAGGATTCTTTCAATTCCATGAAAGTGTCTTTCCAATTACTGTACCAAGGAACACTAGCTTTAATTGACCGATCTGATGAAGAAAATACGGCACCGTTAAGCCAAGCTATGAGGTAAATATCTAACATTTACTGCTTAAACAGAATGAGTGAAAAGTATGCCAACTCCCTCTAACAGCAAAACCTAAATGCAAACTTCTAGACATATAACCAATGCTGCATTAGAACTCAGAAGCCCTAAGTGGCCCAATGTGCATCTCAAACAGCAGAGCAAAGAGCCTCTTTTGAGTTATTTAAAGCTGAAAATAAGTAGGGTTCTTAAGAACAATACAGCTCAGAGGAAAAGTATCAAATCTGAAGTATTTCTAATTGGTACAGGTAAACCATCAGTCAATCATAAACTACATTTTCATTAACTTCTCAAAAATTTTATCCTAAGTGGTTGGAGTGATGGCTTCATGATTTTTTTAAAAAAATACTTTATTATACACACACACACACACACACCTTTTTTTTTTTTTTTTTAGTTTCTCAAGACAGGGTTTCTCTGTGTACCCACTGTGGCTGTCCTGGAACTCACTTTGTAGACCAGGATGGCCTCAAACTCATAGAGATTCGCCTGGATCTGCCTCCCGAGTGCTGGGATTATAAGCATGCATCACCACCACCCAGTAAGATGACTCCATGTTTAAGAGAATTAGCTGCTTTTCCAGAGGACCCAAGTTCTGTTCTCAGAACCTGGTGAGCCATATGGTGGTTCACAACTATCTGTAACTCTAGTCCCAGAGGATCCAATGATCTCTTCTGATCTCCATAGGCACTGCATACAGGTGGTGCACAGACATACACACTGTTAAAACACCCATACAAAAAATAAAAGGAAAGCATTCTAAGAATTTTTTTAATTTAAAAAAAAAAACATATTTAAAAAGCATTATCTTCTACACCTTTCCCAGAAAGCTACTAAGGAAGACCCCTCCTTCAAATCAAAGATATACACCACAAAAGATAAGAATGAGTCAAGCCTCGTTACTCTTGCCTATCATCTTAAACTTTAGGAACTGAAGCAAAAGAATCCAGCACCGAGTTGGAAATGATCCAGAGCCAGTGAGTTCTAGTGCAACCTATATTACAGAGTAAGAATCTTTCTACACAGATAGACAGAGAGAGAGGTTTGAATTTTCGAAAAAGAGAGTATAAAGAAAAAAAAAATTGACTAGCTGGTTCAGTAGGTAAGGCCCTTGCTACATGATGTAAGCCTGAAAATGAGTATGATCCACAGAACCTACAAAGACCTCACAATGTCCTCTGACCACACATGCATCATGGTACACACTTCATACACACATACACCCACAATAATGAGGATGGTGACATTAATATTGTAAAATAAAGCAAGAGAAGGAAAGGAAATCTCTAGGATGACAACTGTGGAAAGTAGCTTGGAGTCAATAGTCCAGGATGGAGTAGATGAACATTTTTCAACTTTTTTTTATCTTTCACCAATGAATATTTTTGTTTTGAGAGAGTCCCATTGTGTATTCCAGGCTGGCCTTGAACTGGGAGCAACCCTCCTGCCCAATTAGATTACATATATGAGCCACCATTCCCTGCTGTCTCTAGACTTTCTTTTTTCCTCATTACTCCCTCCCTTCCATCTTTCCCCAGCTTGAGGTCATGCATATGCTATGCATGTGCTCATTCACTACACTATACCCCTGGCCCCAAAATGTTTGAAATTATACATGAACACGCAGTGACATGGCCCTTTGGAGAAATAAGAACCTGTGTAATAACTAAAATATTTTGTCCGCAAAGCAATTTTCAACTCCCTGGGGGATGGTATCATCCTTACTGATGACATCAGTGATAGAGAAAAGACTCTGGAAGAAGACTGTGATAAAGAATTACTTGAAAACTGACCTAACCAATTCAAAGTCCTACTCAGGAAGTTTAAGAGACTACAAAGACTGAACAAAATGATTTTAAGGATTATTACTGTAGTGGTTTGAATAGGTATGGCCCCCACAGACTCGTGTCTGAATGCTTGGCCCATAGGGAGTGGCACTATTAGGAGGTGTGACCTTGTTGGAGGAAGTATGTCACTGTAGGGGCAGGCTTTGAGGTTTCAGATATGCTCAAGCTATGGCCAATACAGTCTCTCCTTCTGCTACCTGCAAATCCAGATTTATAACTCTCAGCTCCTTCTCCAGTACCATGTCTGCCTGCATGCCACCATGTTCCACCATGACAATAACAGACTAAACCTTTGAAACTGTAAGCCGGCCCCAATTAAATGTTTTCCTTTATAAGAGTTGCTGGTGTCATGGTGCCTCTTCACATCAATAGAAACCCTAAGACAGAAGTTGGTACCAGGGACTGCGGTATTGCTGTGATAGGCCTGACCGTGCATTTTATTTGGAGGAATGTGGACTTTGGTACTTTGGGTTAGGAAAGCAGGGGAATGCTTTAAGCACTGCTTACTGGGTCATACTAGTAGGAGCAGAGAAGACAGTAGTGCTGGAGGTGACTAGATCTGTGAGGGCTACCTCAAGAGATTTTAGAGAAGAATTTTAATATGTGGCCTAGAGATTGTTCTTGTGATGTTTTGGCTAAGAATGTGGCTGCTTCTAAAGTGAAGAAATTTGGATTAATTGCACTGGCAAATGAAATCTCAAAACAGTCTAGTATAGACTATGTTGTGTGGTTATTAGTGTTCACTCTTATAAGCAAGCTGAGCAAGGAAAAATACAAAATACACAATTTGAGGAGAAAAGGAATACCAGGAAGCAGAATGGAAATAAATCCTGTATTCAAGGAGATAAACAAAGATATTAAATGGAATAAAAAAGTGGTGATTTTTAATTCAGAGCAAGAGCCTACCCAATTAAGCTTCCAACTTATGAAAAGGAATTAACAGCTTAGACCCAGGCATGATGGAACAAACTGAAACTTCAGTACTTTAATCCTAGTACTCAGAAGGCAGAGGCAGGCAGATCACTAAGTTTGATGCCTGCCTGGTCTACAGATCAAGTTTCAGGACAATCAAACTTAGGGAGCGAAGGAAACCATGGAAACAGAAAGCTGGTGAAGATATAATTAAATAAGGGGACCATGTTCCTGCCTCAGTAAGCAGCAAAACTTGCCAACTTCGGTCAAGTGGTTCTGGCTTTAGTATTAAAGACAGAAGAAAGGGGTTATGGAATCTCCCTCTACGACTAAGGAAAGCTGTTGAGGCCAGGCATGTATCAGAGGTACCCCTGAAGGGAGGCCTAGAGAGGCCACTGTGTGAAACTATGAAAGTGAAGCCTAGATTGCCTTGGAGACCCCAAGATGCTGGAGATGCTGGAGATGCTGGACCCGTGAAATACCTACCAAGAAAAACTACTAAGTAGGCGTGCAAACAGCCCAAGAAAAGGAAGTGTGTTATAGTCAACAAAGCTCAAAGGAGTTTTGATCTGAAGAGCATTTTGACAACAGACATGGAGATGCAGAGTGTGGAGTTTGCACAGGTGGTTTTCAGTCTTGCTTTGGTCCAGTATTTCCTTATTATGTTCCATTTCCTCCATTTTGGAATGGTAATTATATCCTATGCCATTATGTTAGAAGTATGTGATCTGCTTTTTGATTTTGATTTTATAAGGGATTACAATTAAGAGACTGCATGAATCTCAGAAGAGACTTTGACCTTTCAACTTTTAAACACTGTTGAGACTGTGAGAGACTATGGGGACTTTTGAAGTTGGACTAAATGCATTTTGCATTATGATATAGCTACAAGCCTATGGGGGCCAGGGTGTTTCTTCAAAGCAACAGAAACCCTACCTAAGACAATACCTATCAACCCCAGAAAGCCGGGGGGTGGGGGGGACGGGAACGGGGGATGGGACGGGGACGGGGACGGGGACAGGGGGGACAGAAGTAGGAAACACAAGAGTTGGAGGCTTGCAGGTCACTCTGTCAGTCTATCAGCCTAGGAAACCTAGTGTGGTGGTTTGAATGAGAATGACACCCACAAGCTCACATGTTTGAATGCTTAGTCCCTAGTTGGTAGAACTGTTTGAGAAAGATTATGAGGTGTTGGCCTTGTTGGAGGAAGTGTCTCATTGGGGAGAGGGGAGGATTTAAGGATTCAAAAGCCCATGTCAATCCAGTCATCTCTCTACCTCATGGCTGTTGCCTCAAGATACAAGTTCTCTGGCTACTGATGCCCCCCAACATGATGGTCAGGAATTCACCCTCTGAAACTGTAAGCAAGCCCCCAACTAAATGCTTTCTTTCTTTTATAAGCTGCCTTGGTCGCGGTGTTTTGTCATTATAACAGAAAAGCAACTAAGATACTTAGCAAGACCCTAACTCCAAAAGGAGAAAACAAAAAACAAACCCCCACAAAACTACTTTCATACATGATAGGCAATTCCCCTCTGTATCCTCTTAGCTCTTTGGAATGACAGACAGGCCATCTTTACTACAATCATTATTTCTATAACATTATAAATCAGAATGTATTATGATTACTGATTAACAATGATCTCTTTACTTGACTGTAAGCTTATAATACATGTCTTATACATCTCTAGGTATCAGTGCAAAGTGCATAGCAGAAGATAAATACATCTGAAAACCAAAAATGTTAAGAGCCTAACTAAGTTTAGCAGTGCAGGCCTGTTGAGAGGTTGAGGTAAGAGGACTGCCACAAGTTCCAAGCCAGCCAGGACCCTGTCTCCAAGAAAAGAAAAGGAAAAAAAAAAGAGAGAGAGAGAGAGAGAAAGGAAGGAAGGAAAGAAAAAGAGAAAAGGGAAAGACTTTATAAAATAGCTTTACAGAATCTGGAAGAGGCTGTACTCACCGAAAATCCTAGCATTTGAGAGGTAGAGGAGGAGAATGAAGGAGTTAGGGGCAGCCTCAGCTACACAGAAAGCTTGAAGCCTTCCCCTGTGAAAGAAAGAAGTGGGCATGATGGTGCACACCTTTAATCCCAGCACTTAGGAAGAAAAGGTAGGTAGATCACTGTGAGTTCCAGGCCATCTAAGCTACACAGTGAGACTGTCTCACAGAGCAAGATCATGAGAAAGGGTGGGAGAAGAGGAGACAGAGGGGAGACTGGGGAAGGATAGGAGAACAGGAAGAAGGAAGGAGTCTAATCAAGTTTATCTTTTCAGAGAAAAGACAAAGTTTCAAACCGTCAGCAGCCTACCTCAGTTACCCCATTAACTCAGGGCTTGTCATATATAAGATTAAGACATTAACATCTGACTCCTTGCCTCTCATACCTCAACACTGATGACAGGAAAACAAATCTCAAATTCTACCATTTCTCAGGTAAATATGCAAAATTTTCTATCACATTAAAATACATTATACCAGAAACTGACTAATCCTGTTATCTAAAAATTCAAATTCTTTTGACTGGTATAGCTCAGTGGTGAGCTGATTGACTAGCATGTTTTAAGGTCCTGGGACAAATCCTAGCACTATAAAATAAAAAAAGATAAAATGAAATTATCAGATTGATCTATGTTGCTGAAATTAAAATAAATGGCAAAGAAAGATATGGAAGACTAAAACACAGTAATTCTACACATATTTGTAAGTATACATACTTATAGACTAATTACTATGTTGACCTACAACCTGCCATTAAGTTCTCTGTACAGAGGCAAGATTTGGTTTACTACTACTATTACCATTATTATTATTATTATTATTATTATTATTATTATTATTATCATTATTATTATATTAATGTATGGGGGTGCATGTGTGCCACAGTGCCTATGTGGAGGTCAGAGGACAACTCTGTAAAGTCAAGTCTCTCCTACCACACTCCCATGAGTTCTAGGCCTCCAACTCCAGTCATCAGGCTTGCATGGCAAACACTATACCAGCTGAACCATCTCACTGGCCCAGGAAGGTCTTTAGCGATACAATTAGGAAGCATCAAAGTGTCAAGACTAAATTAGACCAACCTAAAAAAGTAAGCTGCTGTTTTTAAGCAGTTGAGAGATTGTAATTAGATTAACATAATTCTAATATTTTCCTTTTAAGAATGCACCATGTATTTTTCATAAGACTTTGAATACTAGAAAAGAATCACATCAAATATTAACTCACTCTACATATTAATGTATTATTTTCCTTATCAGTCTTATTATAAAAACATTCACTACCTAAACCAGTGTAAGAAGCACTTATAAAACTATGTACTTACATCTGTTTTATATACATTTCCACTTAACACAAAGATTAAAAGTATAATAACATGCCTTTCATTTAATGACAATATCAAATCATACAAAAAAAAAAAACCCATGTTATCTATTATTAGTTTTATCATGAAACTCTGATTACCCTCTAGGTTACTTACTACAGGTGCTAGAAACAAAGAAGTTCCTGGGTGTGAAAATGTCTTTCAGCACTGCTCTGTAGGCCCAGCTCTAGCACCTTGTAAGCCATAAATCACTTGAATGAAAGGTCTCCAAGATAAAGAATTATTTTCCTAACAAAAAAAATTTCCATTTAAAAAAATATCAACAGTTGTTACATACCACTGATGTTAAGGTCATAATCCCCCGCTGTAATCACATTAGCCACTGATCCTTCTGCAGGCTGGCTGCCAGAAACGACATCATTCAAAAGCTTCCCAATGGCTCCCGGCTGAGGTGGCTGGGTGACAATGTTGCTTACTGCTATCTTCAAATTTTTAATTATATGCAGTTGATTATTAGGATCTCTCATGTGAACTTTTAAAAGAGAGAAAGAAATTTTAAATTAACTTGGTATAATGTATCATTGTTTTCAAACACAAAAGAATCTCAAATCAGAAACTAAGAATTAAAAGAATAATTCTTCCAAGATACAACTGGTTTACATTTCCCCTTACAAACCAAAAGAAATACCTAACCTATTAACCATAAACTCGTTCCACTTAGACAGTCATAGTGGCACATGCTATAATCCCAGCACCTGGAAAATAGAAGCAGAAGGATCAGGAGTTCAAGGGCAGTCTAGGCTATGTGAGACTCTGTCTCAAAGAGGAAAAAAATATTCCTTCCTCTCACACAATGCTACACAATTTCCCTATAGGCCCTGTTTCCCCTACATTTAGAGCTGTCCAAAACCATAAAGTACCCAGATACTGTTCTGGCTTTTGGAGGCAGGATCTTTGTATAAAGCATGAGTGGCCTTGAACACACAGTGATCCTACTGTCTCAGCCTTCCAAATGCTGGGATTATAGGTATATGTCACTATGCCCAGCTTCCCAAAAGCATTTTTACATCTAGGCTTATTTATAATTTAATCAGTTACAAACTAAATTTCCATAATTTCTTGTGCTTCCTCAGACACTTCTAAAATTTTAAATTTAAAAACATAAAGCTCATCCAGGTATGGAACACATACCTATAATCCCAGCAATCTGGAGGCATAAACACAGGGATTATTTTGAGTTCCAAAGCAGCTTGGTGTACAAACCATGTCCCAAGCAAGCCTTGGAACATGAGGGATACATTTCACAGGTAGAAAAAAAAAGGACAATAAAATATTAAAATATTACCCAGGTATTGTGGCTCATAACTATAATTCAATCACTCATGCAACTCAGGCCAAAGGAATGTCTTGCTATAAGTTCAAAGCCAGTCCAGACTACAAAATGGGACACCGTCTCAAAAAAAATAAATAATAATAATAAAATAAAATATCAAATAGCATGTGTTTTGAATATTTGCATGTGTATTTTAAATAACATACGTGGGATAGTGGATAACTCAATCTCCAGAGTCCAAGATGGGAAGAGAGAGACCCAAGCACTACAAGTTGTCCTCTGATCTCTACGTGCACGCATGCACATACTCATACACATCATACACACATACACAATGATTTAAAAAAATAATTTTAAGTTATGTGCAAAATGTATTCATAGTAGCTGACCTGACTATTTAAAGACGAAAAGAAAACCAAGAGAAAGGAGGAGGATTCCAACCTAACTTACAGTAATTTTAAAGAAAACGGAAAAAAAGCAAACACAGGGCTGAGGAACACAGTTTGGATCTCCAGAACCCACATAAAACCAGACACAGAAGTCCATATGTCTATAATCCTAGCACTCCCACAAAGACATGGTGTTGGAAACTAGAGGATCTGGGGATACTCACAGGTCAGCTAGCATAGCACAGGCAGGAGTGAACAAAGAGACCCTTGTTCACACAAAGTGGAAGGAAAAGACAGACACTGAAGGTTTTCCTCTGCTCTGCACGCGCGCGCGCACACACACACACACACACACACACACACACACACACACCATGGGCACACATATGCACATGTACACACACAAAGGTTTAAAAAGATGACAAGTTTTGCATTTTGTAGCTGAACAGTGGAGATGAAGTTATTGTATGCTCTGCATTCATCTATGATTATTGTTTTCTCATTTAAGTACACACAGACCTCCCTCAATAATTAAAACTTCCCAACTGTATAATTATGACACAGAAAAATAAAAGGGAAAGAGAAAAGGAAAGGAAAAGAGAACTGCCAGAGTACTATGATATACCTCTGAAATCTTCAGGAACATATTTTGCAAGTATTTTCCTCAAGGTTGCTCCATAATTAAATACTATAAGCAGCAAAAACTGTAGCAAACCTTCCTTTGAGGGCTGGGAACAACGCTATAATATACTTTCCTAGCATATTCTAGGTCTTATATTCAAACTAGAAACTCCTCTCTCTCTCTCTCTCTCTCTCTCTCTCTCTCTCTCTCTCTCTCTCTCCAAACCTTAGAGATTAATTACCTAGTTACATCATCATAGGAGTGGTTGTGGTGGTTAATATTGTCGTCTTGACAGGATCTAGAGTCACCAGAAGACAAACCCGAGTATGCCTGATTCTAGACTGGATTCAGGGAGTGAGAAGACCCACCCTGATAAGGACTGCATTACACCATGGGCTCAGGTCCCAAGCTGAAAGAGAAAGTGAGCTGAGCACCCCCACTCATTTCTCTCTCTGGTGACTGGATAGAAGAAGGTGACCAGACAGCCTCCTGTTCCCGCTGTCATCTTCCCATGATGGACTACAGGCTCCAAAGTCAGCCAAAATAAATTTTCCCTCCTTATGATGTCTATCAGGTATGTTGTCAAAGCGATGAAAAAAGAACTAATACAGAACTGACCGCAGAAGTGGGACAGTTGTGGTGATACACCTGACTATGTGATTGTTAGGCCTCTGAGACTCAGTCATAGAAGAATGTCAAAGAACTTAGAACTCTGGGACTCAGAAAGCCCATGAATGCTGTAAAAAGAGTTTACCAGGCCACTCTGGTGGGAATTTGGAAATCAGAGTGCCAAGAAAAACATTAGCAATGGTGGCCTTGCTTATGGGGTTCCAAAGGGGAACAAGGCTCCACTGAGAACTAGGCTAAAAGCCATTCATGTTATATTCTGACAAAGAATCTGGCTGCCACTGCCTATGTCCTAACAACTTCAGTGAGACTGAATTCAGTGGTTGGCTGATATCAAGCCAGACAGCATCTGGGCTGTGTCTTGATTACTGCACACTACTTTTACCCAGGTCTACAGTGAGAACAAATGGAGCAAAATAGTAAAAAACAAACAAACAAACAACAACAACAAAAAAAAAAACAAAACATGCCATTTGTTGGGAAAAAGGAGTTTAAAGCTGAAGACAAGGGATCAGCAAGATGATTCAACAGGTAAAGGCATTTGCTGCCAAGCCTGAGACTGGAGTATGATCCCTGGATCCTACATGTTGGAAGAGGAGAACCAACTTCTTCGTAAGTTCCTCTGACCTCCACACGAGCGCCTATACACATACACACAGACACATACAATAAATATATAAATGTAAAAAAATACAGCTGTAGACAAGCCATGTTGGTGAGAAAGGAGATATTATTATTAGAGATTGGTACAATTCTAGAGAAACCTGTTTTGAACTGAAACAATAGGAAAAGTGCCCAGAGAGCAAGACTCCATCCATCCTTTTAGCACTACATTCTGTGAAAATCCAAATTCCCTTAAAGGGGTCTAAACAGAACGCTACTGAAAGGGTGCCCTGCTCAAGAACTATAGGGAAAACTGTCTCCCTGGAGTCATCTTAGAAGGCCCAGGCAACAATTCAATTGTGGTCCAGGGGCCTAAGCTCTATCTCAAGCTGGCAATGCTTAGCATCATATACATGGTACCAGTTTTACAGGCATGGAAGGCCAAGGTTCTAAAACACCACTGAGGCACAGCAATGTGTGGCGGGGTTGGATTCCCTGCTAAGAGAGCCTAAGAGACCACAAGGTGAAGCTGAGAAGATGAAGCCTAAGCAACACTGGGAGACCCTGGGATGCCACAAAAAGACCAGGGCAATGGGATATCTGCTGAGGAAAGCTACAGGAATGGAATGAAACTGGTTTGAGACTGTATGTGCTGCAGGTGGCAGACAGGAAGGGTGGAGCTACCCAAGCCACCAGGAGCACAGTCCCAGATACCCAGCAAAGAGCTGTAGGATTTGATGTTTGCCCCCTGGGTTTCAGTCTTGCCTTGGTCCAAACAGTCCTTGCTATACCCTCGTTCTTTCCATTAGAGATGGGAGTGTTTATTTTGTGTCATCCCACATTGGAAGTATGTCATCTGGTTGTTGTTTTTGTAATTTATTTTATAGGGGCTCACTGTGAAGACATCAGAGTCTCAGAAGAAACTGTACTTAACTTCAAAATAGTATGGTACTGTTAAAAACTCTAAGAACCTTTGAATTTAGACTGAATGCATTTTACATTATGAAGTACTTTTATGTGCCTACAGGGACAAAGGATAGAAGGCTTTAAAGTGATTTTGGGGGGTGAGGGATGGGGGGAGAGATGGTTCAGTAGATAAGAGTACTACCTGTTCTTCCAGAGGACCCGAGTTCAATTCCCAGCATCCACATGGAGACCTACAAACCATCTGTAACTTCAGTCCCAGGGAATCAGACAGCCTCTTCTGACCGCTGAGTCAGCAGTCATAAACATTGAAATAAAGATTAAAATGTTTAAAGTGATATATGTGGGTATCAAGTTGACAAGGGAAAGATGTGTGGTGGTCAATATTGAGTCAACTTGACAGGATCTAGAATCATCTAGGAGACAAACGTCTGGGCCTGACTATGAGGGTGTCCACAGACAGGGTTATCTAAGGAGGAAAACCCACTCTGAATATGGGTGGCACCATCCCATGGGCTAGGGTCTCAGAAATTAATGGAAAGGAGGAAGAGAGCTGACTTCCTAAGTACAGAGTAGCATGAGCAGCTCCTTGTACTCCTGCTGCCTTCCTCATTGTGGTGGACTATATCTAAACGAGAGTCAGAATGCACCCTTCTTCCCAAGTTGTTTTTGTCAATTATTTCATACAAGAATAGAAAAGTAATGAAAACAAACAGTGCTAGGATGAAATGCTTTAAGTTTGGGGTATAGGTCATTCATAAAGGTCCTAACCCCTGAATATCAAAGAAAAAACAACAACAACAAAGCAAAGTTTATAACTAAAAGAAATTTAACTTAAAAAATGATTATGATGGTTATAACAACAAAGAAAAGTGTGGTGGTGCATACCTGTACTACCACTTGGTAGGTGGAGGCAAGAGAATCAGGAGTTCAAGGCCAGCCAGATCTAAAACAATAAAGAAGGGGGGTGGGGGGTAGCTGAGGATGGAGATGAGGAAGAAGAGGAAGAGGTGGGAAACGGAAAGAAAATAAATTAGAGAAGCTGCCTTTCAAAGACATTTCCTAAACTTATCTGCCAAACTTCTCTAGTCTGTGCAGAGAAACTATTCAAATTTATAGAAGAATTACAATCTATTATTTTAATCACTTAAATAAATTTAATTAATTTCAACATATTAACATACATACTTCCGAAACTGTAATTTAAAGTTAGTGTTTAAAGTGAAATTTTCTGAAAACACATGTAAAAGATACAATGAAATACTATTTAGAATTATTAGATAACTCCCATCAAACAAACAGAAAGGCATGATTAACTCTATGAAGCCGACCGCCAATACAAATCTCCGAAAATACTAGAGGACTGAGGACACAGCTCAGCAGTACATAAATTTTGTGTTTTTCTTTTATGGTGGTGAGGGGTGAATATAGGGCATATGTACTATAGATAAGCACTCTAACTGAGGCACATCCCTAGCTCTGTTTGTTGTTGTTTTATTGTTGTTGTTTTTTCTTTACTCGTTTTTTTTAATTGAAAATACATTTTTTTCATACAATATGTTCTGATTATGGTTTCCCCTTCCCATATTCCTCCCAGTTCTTCCCCACCTTCCCTCCCCTCCCATCCAGATCTATACACCCTTTCTGTCTCTAGTTAGAAAACAAATAGGCAGTTAATGAATAATATTAAAATACAAAAAGATAATAAAAAACAAACAAATCTGAAATGACAAGACAACCAAACAAGAAAAAGAACCACAGAAAAAGCATAAAAATGCATATAGATACAGAAACACACATTCTCACACACAGGAATCCCATAAATGAATGAATGAATGAATGAATGAATGAATGAATGAATGAACGAACGAACGAACGAACGAACGAACGAACGAACGAACGAACGAACGAGCTGGAAGCCATAATATACATGCAAAGGACCTGTAAGGTTTTTTTTTTTGTTGTTTTTTTTTAAAAAGCCTGACATTAGTATGAGACACAGACCCTCCAAAGACGCCATTGGGTTTGTTTTATGTTGGTAGCTACAGTATTATTTACAAGCATAAACAGGCATCCCCTAGTGTCATAAGGTCCCAGTTCAATCTCCAGCACCATAGAAAAGAAGTAGTAGGATCACAAAATGTGTGTGAACAGTGAATACAAGTTAAATCTGGAGCACACATCAACAACATATACAAAACCATTGAACTGTGCTTCATTGGTAGATGCAGTATATTTAATTCTTTTTAGGTTTTAAAAACATGCAAGAAACCTTAACTAGCTCCCTATCACCTAACTTACATGCACTTGAAGCCTAATAGCTACTTTTTTAAGGTCCTACACAAAAATGGTACTCAAATTTCTTCTAGCAATCGTCTTTTCAGTGTAATATTTAAACTATGTTTTTTTTTCTACTGAAACCTCAAGATAAATCTCCTGAAAATACTTGACTGTACTAAGCCAAGTTTGATCTCAGAAGTCAGGGCAAATCAAATAAACCTGCTGGCCACAAATAAAATCTAGTCTTGTTTGTTTGTTTACATTCCTTTCTCTGAGTAAAGAAATTTTAACATGGTGCTAGAGAGATGGCTCAGTAAGAGCTCTGGCTGTTCTTCCAGGGGACCAGTGTTCAACTCCCAGCACTCACAGGATGCCTAGTAGCCCTCTGTACCTCCAGTTCCAGGGGATCCAGAGCCCTCCTCTGGCCTCTGCTGTCAATGAATGAATGTGGTGCAGACACACATGCAAGCAAAAACACCCACACTTGTAAAATAAAAGGAAATCCTTTAAAAAAGAAAATGTAACTTGTTTTACTTGGATCCTGAAATTGTACTACCTAAATGATATTCTTATGATTTACTTCCTAAGGGAAAAAAAAATCTTTGAAGAATCTCTATAATACACATACCATAAAGGGAAAAAAAGCCCCAAAATTTATTTACCAACAACAAAAAGGCTGTGGGATGTTACACCAAATTTCTGAATATAATATTTTCCATTAACTTTGAGAATTTCATACATGCATACATCCATATTCTTATATACAACACCTTCCACCTCCCCTATATGAACTCCCAGCCCCCCTCCAAAATTAATGTTCTACCAAATATTTTTATGCTGACACTGTAGTCTGTATCTTAATTACCTTTGAACTTTTTCTTCTTTTCTGAGTGTTTCCTTATGTAATTCAAGCTGGCATCAAGCAAGTAATCCTCCTGCCTCAGCCTCCAAAGCAATAGGATTATAGACATGTACCATGCCAGCTTAAACTTTTTAAAAATTTATAACAACTCATATGAACCTTATAAACTACAAACTCAATGGCCTTGCTCAAGAACTCGAGACTGCCCCAGTTACCACTAGAAATGAAATCTAGAAGCCCTTTCCTGAAACAAAGCTTCTCCTCTCCCCAGCATCTCCTCTGAATTCTGTACCCTACAAGATTGCTTTCCCGCTACTCTCCCCTAAACACTGACTACAATTTATACCTTCTGACCTAACCATTTGACGGCAGTCTTAACTGCAATCATAGAATCTACAATCACCTGGAAGACTGGGCATGCCACTGGAGGGTTAGCTTGATTACTACGGTTATCTATCTTGACTGTAGAGGGTTATCTATCTTGACTTAAAAGGGATCCTGGACTATAAAATGGGAAACTAGAGTTTGCGATCACTCCTGGCTCCTAACTGTGGATGCAATGTGACCAGATGCTTCAGGCTCCTTCTGTCTTCACTTCTCTGCCATGATGGACTGTATCTTCAGTGAGCCAAAATAAATCCTTCCCTCTCAAGCTGCTTCCGTCAAAATATTTTATCACAGGAACAAGAGGAACTAAGACACCGTTCTACCTCACTCCTTCTCAAATACATGGTAAATGCTTTTGTCTTTCCACCACCTGTCTATCAACCACCTCACTGTACTCCTTCCTAATCTTTCCCATGCTTCAAGGAGAAATACAAGTGGACACAAGTTCACCTCTATCACCGCACCATCATAGAAGGCCTACGGAGTTCTTAAAAATGCACCTACTCACAAAAGGGGATATTTAAGCACAAAGCACACCATTTTTAAAAAACTTTAGCAACAAAAAAGAATGCAAAACTTCCCACTTACATCTTTTATATTGGATACCTATTGAAATAAATCTGCCAAAACTTTGGAAATACATGGATCAAATAAGTTACATTACTGGAACTAATCCCACCAGGGCTGAGAATACACCTATGCGCAAAAGAAAAAAGTTTAGTGCAAGAGGCCCAAGTTCAACCCTCAGCATCAAAAGAAAACATCATATGCTACTTTTTCTTTATGTATTATCAAGGTTACCAAAAATTTTAACTATATATATGAGGCCTGACATGGTGACACACGCTTGTAATCCTAATACTTAGAACATAGAGGCAGGAAGATCAAGAGTTCAAGGCCAGCCTAGATTACATGAGACCTTGCTCTCCAGTATAAAAAAGTAAGCACACCCAAGAAATTAGATGATTTTGATGATTCAGATCACAATATCCTGAGTCACATTACCTGTTTTTAAATCTTTCCAAGATACAAAACTGCAGATAAGCTATTATTTCTATATCTCAATGTCCTCAAATTTAAAAAGGCAATAATGGCCTGGTGGTAGTGCACACTTGTAATCCTGGCATGTAGGAAATTGAGGTAGGAGAATCATTGTGTGCTGGAAGCCAGCCTGGGCTACATAGTGAGTTAAGGCCAGCCTGGGCTACATAACTAACCCTGTCCCAAAATAGCAACAATAATGATAATTAGTAAGCGGAAATAACAAAAGACTCAGTGACTAAAAGAAAAGCTACATGAAACAGGTCTCAGATATTAGCATTGTTTATTTTTCTTAACACAACAGCAAAGAGCACACACAAAGTCAAATTGACTTCTGGGGTTCATTTTTTAGGAATTTAAGACTGGAGAGGGACTAGAAACATAGCTTAGTGAGATAACCCTTGCTTAGCATGTGTAGGAGCCTGGATTTGAACCTCAGTACGGGAGACGGAAAGTTTAATATAAACTGAAACAAGGAGTGGTGGCATACACCTGTAGCCCCAGCACTCAGGCTGGGGCAAGAGGCTCTCAACAGTGAAGCTAGATTGGGGTACAGTGAGAAATAGAGGTCAATCTGAGCTAATACTCAGACCTATCAACCCCAACCCCATTTGAATTACAAATGCAGAGGTTTGCTGTTCTTAGTAACGCTAGAGCAATGGTTCTCAACCTGTGTGTCTCAACCCCTTTGGGTCGCATATCAGATATTTACATTACAATTCATAACAGTAGCAAAATTACAGTTATGAAGTAGCAATGAAATAATTT